TAGTTTTCGTACTTTTTGTAAAGTGTCTGGACTCTGAGGCATTACGATTTGCCCCATTCCAGATTTTAACCCCTGAATAGTAATCCCAACTAGCAGGTGCATGGGGAGATCATATTCTGGGGCTATAGACGCGTGACACAGGTCATGTAATCATCGACTGTTTCCTCTTGGTATTGTTTTAGATTTAATAAATTAACGTCAAATGTTGTCTTCTGTCACCTTTGAAATCTTTCTAAGAATGCTTGTTTTAGATTTGCCACAGATGATTTTGCCGAATCACTTAGTTGAAAGTGCCATTGCTTGGGAATGTCTTCCAAGTAGAAAGGAAACGCCGAGAATGCTGCCGGTTCTGACATATTAAAAATATGCCACCATTGCCGTAAACAACGACCACCACTGGCTGGCCGGTTCAGCCTGATGGTACGGTGACAGTTTTATCACATTCAGAGCATGTCTGGCTAGGCTCCTGTGGCATGGCAACTTGACCTTTAGATGAATGTGACGATGATGGTGAAAATGATGGAGAAGGAGGACGAGAAGATGAAGATACATATGTAAGTGGAGCAGAACTGCTGAAGATAATTATCAATGTAGAAGAAGACGAAGAAGAAGAAACAGAGGAGGACGAATCTGCGCCTCTAATAATTGGTGTTTCCTAGAGGATTCTGGTTGCCCTTATCAATCCTTGCAATCTTACGGAGGGTGGCGCTGTTGGAGTAGTTGATCCAGTCGGGATCATTCCCTGGAAGTTTGAAGTCTGCCGTTCGCTGCGAATATCCATTGTCCGGGCCGGGGTCGAATACGAATCTCCACCAGATTTTTGTATGATTATTTGGTGCTTCTGTTCTGATTTATTTCTGCTGGGCTAGTGAGGGAGGATTGAGCTCAACTTGGATTCAGCCTCTGTTACTTTTGGCCTTAAAAGAAAACAAGTTGTAAGACTTTACAATTTTATTTTAGAGAAACCGCAACTCACAATTTTAACAAATAACAATAAAATATTTAACTTTACAAAACCTCCTGAAAAGTAAATAAATTATAAATAACATTTCATTTTCCAAAATATTACAGTTCAGTTGTTTATTTTTTAAAATAGTATATAAATATGATTAACATAAAGATGATTGAACATACATGTACGTACCTTAAAAGAAAACAAGTTGTAAGACTCTATAATTTTATTTTAGAGAAACCGCAACTGAGGTTGTCAGGGCGCGCACGCCGCCATTATATACCCCAGAACCGGTTTCCATGACAATTCCACAACTTGTTAACTTTTTCAGTATACCCATGTGACATGACCGCATGTGGTCATCGTGTGATCAGTGTTTTCGTTATTCTAATTAAGAATTAACCTTTGCCAAATTTGGAATTTCTTATCTCATAAATTCAATTTAAGACGTGTTCAAAGTCAATAAGTTTGACAAATATCAACATTGTTATCCGCGGAGAACACTGACCACTTACAGGAAATATTTGATCTATTGATAGTGATTGACTTTATTACTCAATCGCCTGGTCTGAATACACAATTTGTAAATAAGAGTTACGAAATATGTTTTCAATTTGTCAGTAATAAATGTCAAGTAATTTCAAATATGACCTTGCACTGAGTATAAAGATTACACACTTAAAACTAATAGATATTATTAAATTACAACAAAAAATGTGAATAATACAATTCTATATTAATTACTTCCTCGCTCGTGAAAATTTGGTGCTCCAAAAAAATTATGGGTGCCCAATATATATCGTTACATGAATTTCATTGACAATATCATAAATACAATTGAAAATAATCGTTTAGACTACAACATCTCACTATGAATTGTCACATAAATACATAGTGTGCTGTTGAATAAACAACCACTGTCCACCGTTAAATCCAAGGTTATACAGTTTTCGTACCTTTGTGCCCATCCTTGGAAAATCTAGGGATAGGCGCGCACGCCTTTTGTGGAATATTAGCGCGCATTGCGGACCTACAAACACTTGCAAAATGATTTACTTTTTTGCATTTTAAACACTGTTTGCCAAATGCGCGGCATTAATTGCTGTCGAGACAGGCAGTTACCTCCACAAGCTTGGCATTTTCATTTGTATTTGTAGAATAATTTGGATTAAAATTGGGCTTTGGATTTGAAAAATAATTGGGACGAAAATTTCTTTGATTATTTTGGCGAAAACTTTTTTGAAAAGGCTGGGTATCAAAATTTGAAGTATTTGTGCTGGATATTGCAGCCGCGGTAGTGGCTTCAAATTTGTCTGATAGAGTTAACATTAACTGTCTTCTAATTGCTGAATGGAAGCTGCAAGCGAAGCGTTTGCAGTTTCCGTACTTTTGATAGTTTGCTCCGCCACAAGAGCTAGTTTTCGTACTTTTTCTAAAGTGCTGGACTCTGAGGCATTACGATTTGCCTCAGTTCGGATTTTAACCTCTGAATAGTAATCCCAACTAGCAGGTGCATGGGGAGATCATATTCAGTGGTTAGACGCGTGACACAGGCCATGTAATCATCGACTGTTTCCTCTTGGTATTGTTTTAGATTTAATAAATTAACGTCAAATGTTGTCTTCCGTTTTTGAAATCTTTCTAAGAATGCTTGTTATAGATTTGCCACAGATGATTTTGCCGAATCACTTAGTTGAAGGTACCATTGCTTTGGAATGTCTTCCAAGTAGAAAGGAAACGCCGAGAATGCTGCCGGTTCTGACATATTAAAAATATGCCACCATGGCCGTAAACAACGACCACCACTGGCTGGCCGGTTCAGCCTGATGGTACGGTGACAGTTTTATCACATTCAGAGCATGTCTGGCTAGGCTCCTGTGGCATGGCAACTTGACCTTTAGATGAATGTGACGATAATGGTGAAAATGATAGAGAATTAAGGAGGACGAGAAGATGAAGATACATATGTAAGTGGAGCAGAACTGCTGAAGATAATTATCAATGTAGAAGAAGACGAAGAAGAAGAATCAGAGGAGGACGAATTTGCACCTCTAATATAATTGGTGTTTCCTGGAGGATTCTGGTTGCCCTTATCAACTCTTGCAATCTTACGGAGGGTGGCGCTGTTGGAGTAGTTGATCCAGTCGGGATCATTCCCTGGAAGTTTGAAGTCTGCCGTTCGCTGCGAATATCCATTGTCCGGGCCGGGGTCAAATACGATTCTCCACCAGATTTTTATAAGATTATTTGGTGCTTTTGTTTTGCTTTATTTCTGCTTGGCAAGTGAGGGAGGATTGAGCTCAACTTGGATTCAGCCTCTGTTACTTTTGGCCTTAAAAGAAAACAAGTTGTAAGACTTTACAATTTTATTTTAGAGAAACCGCAACTCACAATTTTAACAAATAACAATAAAATAATTAACTTTACAAAACCTCCTGAAAAATAAATAAATTATAAATAACATTTCATTTTCCAAAATATTACAGTTCAGTTGTTTGTTTTTTTAAAATAGTATATAAATATGATTAACATAAAGATGATTGAACATACATGTACGTACCTTAAAAGAAAACAAGTTGTAAGACTCTACAATTTTATTTTAGAGAAACCGCAACTGAGGTTGTCAGGGCGCGCACGGCCATTATATACCCCAGAACCGGTTTCCATGACAATTCCACAAGTTGTTAACTTTTTCAGTACCCATGTGACATGACCGCATGTGGTCATCGTGTGATCAGTGTTTTCGTTATTCTAATTAAGAATTAACCTTTGCCAAATTTGGAATTTCTTATCTCATAAATTCAATTTAAGACGTGTTCAAAGTCAATAAGTTTGACCAAAATCAACATTGTTATCCTCGGAGAACACTGACCACTTACATGAAATATTTAACCTATTGATAGTGATTTACTTTAATTATTACTGAACTGCCTGGTCCGAATACACAATTTGTAAATAAGAGTTACGAAATATGTTTACAATCTGTCAGTCATAAATGCCAAGTAATTTCAAATATGACCTTGCATTGAGTATAAAGATTACACACTTAAAACTAATAGATATTATTAAATCAAAAAAATTATGTGAATAATACAAAAATTCTATATTAAGAGCAAAGCCATGATTAGTCATATTTGGAAGCATCCTCAGTGTAGATTCAAGTTTGTTCTATTCTGCAAGGGGGATCGAGGGGGCACACTATGTGATTTTTTTTTTATACATAGGAATCATATATAGAGAAAAATCTGAACAGAAAGGAAATAGTGACTCGGGTAAGCGATGTGCTCCAAGGCCACATACATCATGGGCCTAGCCTTTTGCTTTTTCCCTTGTATTTTTTTTTTCAATATTGCGTTGTCAATTTATATTTCCAGTTGCACTCTTCCTTAGCAGTACAGGTACATGCACGACGTGCCTAGCTGAACTTTCTTAAATATTTAATTGAATGAAACTAAAAGCGACTTAATTCTTAGTTGTTAAAAAATAATAATAAACAGATATATGAGAAAATATATAGATCAATGTTCTAACGGCGCAATACATTATGTTCATTCATTTGGAGGGGGAGGGGGGGGGGGGTCTTGTTGTTATCTTTATTCTTTATTTTTTATATATTTTTTTTTCAAATTAATTATTATTTTTATTTATTTGTTTTTGACAAATGTCCTCTCCTTTTGTTGTGTTAAACTGTACTCAAATTATATTTTAATTTTACTAAAAAATGTAAAAAAAAAAAAAAAAAAAAAAAAAAAAAAAAAAAAAAAAAAAAAAAAAAAAATGATCGAACCAGAAACGGGAAAAATTAGATAATAGCATAGACCTGAAGTTTGCTTCATGTCTGTGATAATAGAAAAGGGGCCTAGTATATCATAAGAGTGCTCAAATAGACCATCCCCCAATAAGAAAAAAAATCCCTCTCTCCCCTGACTTTATGAGCCCGTCAACATTGAAAATGAAACTCGGGAAAGTGAATTCTCCAGTTATGGTTTCTTATACTTCGTGGCAATCAGAATATCCTGTATTTCGCAACCCCCGTTTGATAGATAAACAATGAATGCAGGAACAGAATCTAGTAAGTAAACAATAAGTTATACTCCTCTAAGACGCGACTTTCGTTTATATAAACTAAATCATTTACACAGAATTTAGAAGTAATTCCACTTGAAATCATTTCGTTTGTCTATGACACACATCGACGTGTTACATGTAACAATATAGACTGATAGATACACAGTCGTTTTTACTAAGTAATCGGCTTGTTGCCTAGGGACAAACACCACCAAATGTTTTCCCATAGACTTCCATACAAAGTTGAGCCCCTGTCACTGATACATATATTGAATTTTGGGCAAATGACTTTCTTGCCGTGAAAGTTCGAGATCTTGTAAAACAAAACATGCCAGAAAAAATATACCGTACCGCGGCACTTTTACTTTCAAAATCCATTTGTTTACAACTAGGTGTGTTCAGCACCAAATGAAAATCTCTAACCAAAGAGCATCCCTCCCTTCAAACTTTTACCTGTAACTTCTATATATCTCAAAGGAGCCTAAGTCTTGATATGAGATTTTTATCATCTTTATTTCACTTGTCAAATACATAACTAGTCTTTTCTCTTAATGACCAAGTAAATAAATAAATAAATACACCAGGTAGCATTTTCTTCTCCGCACAACTTTGGGTGTCCAAAATGGCTGCGCCCATGAATTTGTTTATGTAGGAGTTTTTCCTATTAGACGACTTTCACATTTACAAAAGTTATTTCCCTTTGCGGGGTCAATCTGGGGTAAACCTGCATAAGACACTGTTTTCCCTCTATACCATTACCAACTTTATGGGGCAATGTCTTAGAAATGACATCTGTATGAATATGTTTGTTGTGTTTTTTTTATGTTGCCCCACACTATGGCAATACAGGAATGGATCAAAATTGTCCGAAAGTGTTTAAAAGTGGTAAATATTTACAGGTAGCAGATTTAAGGGGGATACACCCGGCATGAATCCCCCTAAAATCATCAAAGTTAGCGTGAATCATAGTTTTGTCGGGAAAATGTAAAAAAAAATCTACTCGGTAGACATGCGAAATCTCTGTAATCCAGGAGCTTCTGGGGGCTTTGCCCCCTGGGCCCCCACGAGGACCTCGCCCTGGACCCACTGGGGGCCTCAAGGTGGCCCCCAGACCCCCTGCCTACTTTTTGCGCCCCCCCCTCCAACTTCAATTCCTGGATCCGCGCCTGGATAGAATCTAAGTTACAAAGGTTATAGTGAGAAAAATGAGCGTTACGCCGACAACAGGAGATAACTCTTACAAATGTGAAACAACCATTCTACATATGGTCGTAGTTCAAAATGTCCCTCACTGGTTTTAATTTGTATTTCTACGCTTTGCAAATAAGTGTACCAAATTTCAAATATATGAATGGAATAGTCAGGTAGATGCACCCCCCCCACTCCCGCCCCACTTTCTCCTAGATATGTCTCTTATGCCCTGTTCACACGGAGAGTTTAATTCGCAGTAAATTAATGCGAAGTAAAATGATGCGAATTAAACTAATTCGAATTAAATTGCGTTCACACAACAGCTAATGCGAAGTAAACTAATGCGAATTATAATTTTATTTCTACAAGGCTTTTCAGTGAGGCTATTATGACGTCATTTACAAATCATGTCATATTGTGCAGAGCAGGTATACATTTGACATAATGTCATAACGTCTGTACACATTTTAGTGATTAACATACTTTTCCTTTGTTTTCCACTCAAAAATAGCACAAGTACCTATATTTGACCATCGGCATGTGGCCTGTGACTTAATTCTGCCCTTACGCATGCGTCAGTGAAAATTTAATTCGAATTAGCTTCGCTTAGCGTTCACACGGAGCTAATGCGAAGTAATTTAATGCGCAGTAAACTAATTCGAATTAAACTAATTCGCATTAAATTCTCCGTGTGAACGCAGATCAAATTTAATTCGCAGTAACTTACGTTTAATTCGAATTAAACCCTCCGTGTGAACAGGGCATTAGACAATTCTTTTATAAAGCATACAAACATTACTTCTTCATTTAACTGATTTTATTTCTAAAAATGAACAGGGACAACAATAAAAAATGATTTGGTTGAAGGACATCAACTGACCTATTAAAATAACCTCTGCCTGATCATTTCTATCCCCCGCCATGGGTATGTCCGGGGCGTATAGAGTTTGTCATGTCCGTCTTCAATCCTTCCATCCTTCTGTCCTCCCGTCTGTCCTTCTGTAGAGCTTTGCATTTTAGCACAGTTCAAAGCTCAGTTTTAAAGAAATTCTTCAAGATATTTTTATCAAACTTCATATGCTGATACATATTGATGAAAGCTTTTCAACTGCATCAATATTTTTTGCCCTTGACCTTTCCTTTGACCTTGACCTCACCTTTCTTAAATTAGTGTTTAGCTCAGTTTAAAAGAAACCATGATTAGGATGATATTTTTATCTAACTTCATATGATAATACATACTGATGTAAGTTTTTCAACTGCATCAACATTTTTTGACCTTGAGGTTTCTTTTGACTTTGACCTCACTTTTCTTAAATTAGTCTTTAGCTCAGTTTTTAAATATACCATTCAAGATATTTTTATTAAACTTAATATGCTGATACATATTAGTTAGAGCTATTCAACTGCATCAAAAACTGTTGACTTTGACCTTATCTGTGACCTTGACTTTGACTTCATTTTTCTTAAATTTGCATTTTGCATAGTTTTAAAGAAACCTTTAAAGATATTTTTATGTAAACTTATGCACTTATAAATAATTTGGTGAGAATTTTTCATCTATATCCAATTTTTTAGATTTCAGTTTAAAGAACTATTCAAGATATTCTCATAAAATTTCATACACTAATACAATTTTTCTTGTTGCATTACTAATATACCCTGGTGGGGCATTCCTGTCCCATGGACATATTTCTAGTTTTTAGTGCTTTAAATTCTTATTCTATATTTTTTTTTGTTTCCAGGAAAATACAAATACATGTCTTTTTAGTAAAGATTGAAAGGTTTTACAGCAAAAATATTAAGTCTGTCCCTTGTATACTTTGTAACGAAAACATTAATATTATCTCAATCTGTGAAATCTATAATAATTTTCCATGTGTTTGATAATTCCAAAAAAAAGCCTACCTACATGTATCTAGTATCCACCTTCAAAAATGTTGGATGGAATATACATAATAATAATAATAATGTTGGCCCAGTATAAAATATTGTCCTTTGAATCTAATCAGCCTTCTTGTGAGACACATTTTTAGATGTGCATCTTTGCTCGTAATCATTCTTTGTTGTATTTTTTTTTAAAGATATCTTTTCACATCGTATTTTTTTTAAAGATATCTTTTCACATCGCAATTTTTTGTTTCATGTTGAACAACACTTTTTCAAACTAAAATTCAGAAACAGAACGAACTAGGCAGGAAAAGATCATGGTTCATTTGGATATCAAAATTTTATATAAGAGTCTAAGAGACAGTTGTTGTTCAATTTAATGTTAAAACTTGTTTTGCGTATCAGATACATACTCAGTTTTGGGGACAATAAATGTATTTTGTCACTTTGTTGCTTACAGTCATTTATTCTTTTGCGTATTGCCCTTTAGCTTTCAGGACATCATAGTTTAGTCTATAACTTTCAGTTAACTTGAAAGCCCAAGGTGCAGTTGTAATTGTAACCCTTTGAAAAATAAATGTTAATTGGGTCCAGAAAGAATTTTACATACTAAAATTACATTTAGGACTCCTCAATTTGGGGGGATTGTTGTCATGACAATTTGTATGAATAAATGATTAAAAAATATTATAAGTATATATAAGAAACTCAATTATTCATTTTGGAATTTTATTTATTGTAACTTTAACGAGAAATAAAAAAAAATTTAATGCAGCCATAAGTCTCAGAGATTTTATTATTTTCTTTGCTTAAACTATTATGTTGTAAATTTTAAATTTACTAGGTTGGGGTTTAATGTAATATTTATAACATGATAATTTTTTATATTTTTGATGATGACCAACATCTTCCAAACCAAACCCTAGTAGATTGTAACATACAATGTAAATATATCTTTGCAAACTTGATATGTGTAGAATTTATAGATGCAATAAATTTGGAACAATTGTTTAAATACAAGGAGTTAGATATGTAAAAGTACTTGAAACAAGAAAATGAACCTTCCTGTTTAAATACCCATGTGTACTAGATCTGTTAAAGATCTGAATTCATGCATGTCAGTGCTACTACTGGAACTGTCCTAGAATTTTACACCAGAGTTCAGGACTATATATAGTTCCATGGCTAAATCTTCCCTTTTACTTCAGAATCATTTGACTGATAACAAATGTATGACAAAAACACTGGATCTGAAATGCATTATTTATTGATTTCTGTGGAGAAAACAGGACTTTTTGTACTTAAGTGATTAAGATGCATTGACAGACATTCAGATTTCGTGAAACTTTTTTTTATGAAAAAAAGAGAAACTTAAATGATTTTTTTTCATTAATTGCAGACTATGCCTATAGTACATATATGTAATAGTTAAAGCAAAGGGGAGAAGTAAAGAAAATGCAGGTAAATTAAGGTAAGGAAACATTGCATGATGTTACATCATTTGAAATTAATTTGTTTTCTCTTAGCTAGCTTGACAGGAAATTGTTATTTTCTTATTTTTGCTTTGGTAACAGCTCTAGCAAAATGTAATCAATGATATATTGCACAGATGATGGTGTTGGATTACTGGTTGCTATTGAGTATTCACACTCATGTCATGTAAAACAGAAATATATTATTCTCATGGATCATATTTTCCTCTATAATTAGACATGTTAGGCAGCCATTTTTCCATGCACCTAAAAAAAAAATTTAATTTCATTTTGTTTTCAGTGTTTCTCTAGAGGAGATAGATTAAAGTTTTAATACAGTCACTAGAATTATTAATTAACTAATGGCATCAGTGACAACACAGCAGCCTCAGGCAACAGACACTAATTCTGTAGTGCTTAAGAGTGG